TCCCTGCAGCTCACTACAGGAGCGACTCAAAAGCTGGAGCCGCTACTGCCCCCACCCGCCCTCCCGCCCTTTGACCTTCTCAACCATGCACATCAAGAGGACTTTCCGTTTGCTACGTTTTTACTTTGGCAACTCTGCCGGAGGCACTGCACGTCACGACACAGTTCGGCAGCCCGGCCTGGATTTGGTGAACCGTCCGCTCGTCGAATCCAACCTTGCTCACATCGAGATGCTTTAGCCGAGGCAGCGCCCGGCAAGTGGCCGCGATGGCCTCCGGGGAAAGCCCGCAGCAGGCTTCAAGGCGCAGGACTTCCAAGCTTGCTAAGCTGCTGAAGCAAGGGAGGCAGGTGTCCGTTAGGGAGGAGCCGCCGCTGAGGTCCAAGAGGCGCAGGCGCTTCATGTGGCGCCCGATGAAATGAGTCGCCAGATCGCCAACGCAGCACTGGCGCAGGGCAAGAGACTCCAGCTCTCCCAGGTGCGGTGCTGTGGCCTGGATCCCCCCGTCTGTCACCCGGTAGGCCTCCGATACAACCAGCGTCTTGAGCGTGCCCTGGCGTGCGATATTTGCCAAGTGCTGGTTGGAGAAGGCGGGGACATTCTGGATGACGAGGTGCTGGATCCGTGGGAAGGCCTGGGAGGAGCCGGGCCCTTGGAACCACACGGAAGGAATCTCGCAGCGGCTCAGCTCCAGAGTCGTGAGAGACGGGGGCATACAGTCGTAGGGGAGAGCCCGGAGGTCTGTCTCGCTCAGGCACAGGCGGTGGAAGTTGGGACACTGCTTGCCCAAGGCCTGCATCAGTGCTGGGGAAAGCACCTCTTGCTTCCGGACGGAGTGGAGGCATCCCCGTGCTCTCAGCGTCCGCAGGTTGCCTCGGAGATGGTTTCGCAAGAGGTGCCACAGGGCCTTGGAGGACATCTAAATACAGGGAAAGGGGGTGGAAGTGCAAATCAAAAGCCACAAATGTTACACGGATATAATTTTATTTATTTATTTATTTATTTGTTAAATTTATACCCCGCCCTCCCCCGTAGGGCTCAGGGCGGCTTACATGGCAAGAAACTTGCTCATAAAAACATCAATACTTTAGTAGGTTTTTAAAACACAATATACAATTTAAAACCCAAACAACAATAAAGTGCTCAGACTACACAGCAGCCATTCCAAAAAGAATCAGAGAGGAGAGACTGTGAGGTGAGGGTGTTATTGTTTGGAAGTAGCTAGCCTGGCGGACGACCAACAATGGCCAGTTAGGGAAATTAAGTTTTGTGCAAGCTCTTAGCCTCAGTGGGAAGTGAGAAAATAAGCCTTTGTGGCTAGGTTTATGTAAGGAACTTTAGAGAAAGAAAAGCTTTACCTATCTTAAACCATTACTGAGAGCCAGTTTGGTGTAGTGGTTAGGACCACAGACTCTAATCTGGGAGAACCGGGGTTGATTCGCCACGCCTCCACACGCAGCTGCTGGTGTGACCTTGGGCCAGTTACAAGTTCTTTTAGAGCTGTTCTCTCAGGAGCAGTCCTCAAAAGAGCTCTCTCAGCCCCACCTCCATCACAGGGTGTCTGTTGTGGGGAAGGGAAGGAAAAGGAAGCTCTGAGACTCCTTCAGGTAGTGAAGGGTGGGGCATAAACTCTTCTTCTCTTTTTCTTACTGGCTGATGACCAGCAATGCTGGACCAATGACTTAAGGATGCTCCCTGACTGTCGTATAGCGAGGAGTAAGTTCTGCTCAACTCTGCAGAACTTGCTTCTGAGTAAACATTTAGAGGCACACAGACTGCACAGGACTGAAAACGGGGGGGGGGGGGGGGGTGTGCTTTAAAATCCTGCCTAATTCTTTTGCCTTCCTTTCTGACTAGCAAAACCAGAGCAGGCAAAACAGCAGAATAAATTATTCAAAGTAAGAAAATGTGAGTATTTCATTTCCATCATTTTGTACAAACAGTTAGCAAGCCTCATGCCCATCCATCAGAAGGCTTTGATCCAGAACACCAGACTCTAGGATAAACACATCTGCTAGTGTTTTTCTACAGAATCTGATCTGCAAGAACTTGTTCTCCACCTACCAATACCGTTTCCTCCCAAAAGTAGCAGGAAGAGGGTGGATGGGCATTCTTACCTTGTAAGGAGTCAGGTCCAAGTGCCTCCAAAGTAATTTGTCTCGCACCAGGCGATGCCAGCGTCTGCAGACCCTGGATAAAAAAGAAACTGGGTCAGCTCTTATTGGCCATGGTGTAGTGTTTAACAGGGCCATGGTGGCTCAGAGGTTAAGATGCTGAGCTGCATACTGGAAGCTCTGTCGTTCAGCAGTTCGAGACCCTGGTGCCGTGTGACAGAGTGAGTTCCCGCCTCTGTCCCAGCTCCTGCCAACCTAGCAGTTTGAAAGCAAGAAATTGCAAGTAGATAAATAGGTACCACTTCAGTGGGAAGGTAACAGTGTTCCGTGCACCTCGGTGTTTAGTCATGCTGGCCGCATGACCATGGAAACGTCTTTGGACAGCGCTAGCTCTTCGGCTTGGAGACAGAGATGAGCACCGCCCCCTAGAGTCAGATTCAAATGGGTTTTGAGCAAGGGGAAACTTTACCTTTTAGTGGTTAACAGCGCAGACTCTAATCTGGGAGAACCGGGTTTGATTCCCCACTTCTCCACATGCAGCTGCTGGTGTGTGACCATGGGTCAATCATAAATTCTTTCAGAGCTGTTCTCTCAAGGGCAGTTCTCGAGAGAGCTCTCTCAGCCCCACCTACCTCACAGGGTGTCTTTTGTGGGGAGGGGAAGGGAAAGGGATTGTAAACTGCACTGAGACTCCTTCGGGTAGAGAAGGGCGGGGTATAAATCCAATCTCTTCTTCTCTGAGAAAGGGTCCTGAAGAGGGGCTGCAGTAGGGAAGATGAATCAAGCTATGTGGTTGTGAGATTGGTAAGAAGACTGCTGTGTTTGCATGGCAGACAGAGAAGGGAAAGCCACAAATGGGAATTATTCTGTGCAGCTGAGAACCCAAAGAGGAAATGGACTTGGAAAGCAAGGTACATAGAATCTTATACGGTTCCTGAGAGTAAAAGGGGTCAGAAATTAGAGACAGACTAGGATCTGGGAGCCTATGTTCAGGTTCCATTTGTTGTCACTTATGGAGACCTTGGGCAAGAATGCAATTTTCTTCCATTTTTTTTTACTACATAGGAACATAAGAGAAGCCAATGCTGGATCAGGCCAATTGCCCACCCAGTCCAACACTCTGTCACACAGTGGCCAAAAATACCAGGTGCCATCAGGAGGTCCAGCAGTGGGGCCAGGACACTAGAAGCTTTCCCACTGTTGACCCCCCCACAAGCACCAAGAAGACAGAGCATCACTTGCCCCAGAGTCCCTATTTATACCTTGTGGCTAATAGCCACTGATGGACCTCTGCTCCAGATGTTTATCTAATTCCCTCCTGAAGCCGTCCATGCTTGCAGCCGCCACCACCTCCTGTGGCAGTGCATTCCATGTGTAATTTTTTCAAATCTTTTACTTCTTCCTTTAAAAGTGAGTGTCAATGTAAAGCATCTTAGTCATGTTAAACATTCATTTTCAATTCCCTCCCCCACCATTGGGAATTAGAATAATTTATTATTATATTGAGCTGAACTTTTAGATAAGCTGGGAACATTTGTTATGACTGTACTGGCCCACTGTTTATCGACAGTAAATTGATGAGAATGAATCAATAATCCTTGTTTTCTTTGCCTTAAGGCGTGTGTTGATGCTTTCCCACAAATCTTGCTAGTGCCTATTTGCACATGTTGTGGATTTAACATTATTATTTTTTCTAATGTACCTCGCTGTTTTAATATATTTATGTATATTATGTAAGCTACCCTGAGCCTGCCTAGCAGGGAGGGTGGGATACAAATGAAATAAATAAATACATAAAATAAGAATGTCGTGACTGGGAACTGTCCTGTAATAATGGGCTAAAAGTGGCCTTTAATATTTGTTCTACTGATTATATGATTAAGGGTTTGGGAGGGAGATGCATATAGTTTTAATCAGGCTAACTGTAAAGTGATGATAATGAAATCCTGAACAGACTTACACTATTTTAACATCACTGACTTCAATGGATTTGAAGGGTATGACTCAGGATCGCACAGTTAACTTTTTTTGGTGGGAAACCTGCCTTCCATTCCCCTTTATGTAAGTTCCTACATTCTTTTCATCTGATGGCCTTTATTAAGATGTGTGGATAGGACTACCAACTGTTTTGAGCAAAAATGATCTGTCCTTTTAACAAAATCTTAATGGAATGTTATTTTGGTAATAGAGGTTTCATGTGGAGAAATCAGCAGCTGAAGCTTTTCATGGAATGGAGATAAATAAGCCTGTATTAAAAAGACAGAATGTTTTTTCTCCAGATAGTTGGAAACTCTGTTTGCAGACAACATTGATTTGAGTTCCATGTTCAGGAGGCTCTACTTGTTAATGGCACACACACAAAACCTAAAAATTCAATCTAGAAGTGAATCCACCAACCCAATTTATTAAACTTCCAGTGCAATGCTACATAGAGTAAATTTTACTGTAGCCATACTGAAATCAATGGGCTTAGACTGTAATAACTGCATAGGACAGCACAGTTAGAGAATTCAGTACGTTTTTGTGTGTGTGTTTTCTATATGTAGATATTTTTTAAAATATGTAGATTCTAAATTTTAACTCATGCCACTTCTTGAGATAAGTTAACAACAACAAAACACAAAATTATTCTCCCTTTTTATATCAATCAGTCTATCAATTTATTATGGTCATAGACCAGCAAACAATACAGAAATGGTAAAAATTAATATTAAGATTAAAAATAAATCTAGACCTATCTGTACTTCTTTATCTCTTTCCTAGTTTGGTATGCCAGCCAACCAAATTTGGCAAACATTCTACTCATCTTTAAATTATTCCCCGCCAGCATAATTGACAAAAGTATCCTTCTATTGTGACTTGGGTAGGAGTTAACAATAGACTTAACCAGAATGTCCCTAACGTTATGAGATAAACTACAATCGAAAATTTACATGTTCCAGCATTTCATCAGTTCCCATCCCACATATACAACTTTTCCTCAGTGATCTAGTAAATCTGGCCTCCAATATAGCTGAGGGTAAGGCATTTTATCTTAAAAGGGTAAAAATTCTTCTATGATTACAGATGTCTAAATATTTGATGTAAGGTCTCAAAATTACCTTGTTAAGTGTACTTACATTAAATACAGGGTTCCTAATCCTACTCACATCCATCTGTCATTCAACATCTAATATTCTTTGTTTTAGATCTAGCCTGAGCATATCCCAGAGACAGTATCAACTGATTAGAAAAGCCATAATAAACCAGTTTATCTACCTTTTTCCACCATAAAGGAAAAATATACACTAAAAATGCACCCGGTACTAAGCATCATGGCAAATGTAGTATTAACATTTCAAGAACAGTGTCGACTAAGGCTGAAGTGCACACAGGTGTGAGCTCCCTTGAACTTACAAGGCTTACTTCTGAGAAAACATGCTTCAGTTTGGGCTGCAAAAACAAAACCTGCAGTCTTCCGCATTAACCACCCCCATGCCCCAAAATAGCAGCTGCACATTGAAACTTTGTGAGACTGCAGCCAGCTACAGTTTATTGGACCAAATACAAAGGCATGTGGTTTGACAGTTGCTTGACAGGCAGAGAATCAACAGGATATGGATTTGACAGACTGCACAGGATGGCACCTGTTACACAATCCGATGCATTTCAAAGTGTGGCTTTTCCACATACACTTTAGCTTGTGTTGTTTCAAATACGCATAAGCTGCAATTCACGGCATTTGAAGAGGAGCAGCCTTTGGCAGGCAGTTACTTTGACCCTGGTTACACCTGTTGACCAGTGTTCCCTCTAAGCTGAGTTAGTGTGAGCTAGCTCACAGTTTTTTAGCCTCCGGCTCACATATTTTTGTCTTGGCTCAGGAAGGAGGGCTCCAGAGCAAACTAATTTGTGCAGCAGCCAAATGACTTGCTCACAGCTTTAATGCCAGGAGCTCACAAAGTAGAATTGTTGCTCACAAGACTCCACAGCTTAGAGGGAACATTGCTGTTGAAAAACCCCGTCTTTTTTCTGGATCTGTAGAAGGGAGGAAGGATCAAAGCATTATGGAAGGAAAGAGACGCCTAAGCAGTCTAGGCTTGCCAATCTCCAGGCGGTAGCTGGAGATCTCCTGGTATTTCAACTGATTTCCAGGCGACAGAATTCCCCTGGAGAAAAAAGGTCACTTTAGAAGGTGGACTCTATGGCATTATACCCCACTGAGGTCCTTTCCCTCCCCCCAACCCCGCCCTCTTCC